ACCATCATTTGGATCAAAAGATTTCTCTGCGGCCGGCCCCGGAATGAATCGTGAGCTCGAGCAAGGAAGCCTAGGTGGGCGCTGCACCGTAAACGGATGCATTCGGTCAGAGTCCGACTCTATTGACTGAAACGATGGTACACCCATGACAGTGGCCAAGCTGCTAACCTGTTGTTCCAACTCGGCTTCCTTTTGTAATGCACGCTCTAATGTCTGCTGCAGCATTTCCTGATCTGCTTTAGCGGCAGCTATTTCTCGTCTGATGACGGCCAACTCTGCCCTGTGATCTTCCAGCTCTTGCATGTGTAGCTGGCGTCTTCGAATGATCTCTTCCGAAATGTCCGAATGTCTCTGCGCCATCTCATCTGCCTGCTATGCCGTTTTCCTTGCTTCATGTTTGTTGCGGTTGTTATGTTCAAGTATGCTTAGTTGCTCTGCCTGTATCACGGGATCGCCTTGTTCCCTGGCCTTGCTTTTGGCGCATTCTGAGCATCTCTTGGCCCCTTCGCCCGGGCGCTCTCTGCGCGCGGGCTTTGCGCGGCCCGCGCAAACCCCGATGACAAGCTTTTGCGCACGCATGACATGGCTCATCTGGCGTGCCCGCCCGACTTCGCGTCGGCTTGGCCGCCCTTGCTCGGACGGGGCGAGCGACAATCGGGCTCGGGCGGGGCCCCGCATACGTCGGCTGAGCCGGCGTTGAGTTTGCCCTCTCGATCCAGCACCTCCCGGCCGGGCCGGAGGTGTCCATCTAACCGCCGGCGCAGCCGCCGTGCCAGGCTGCCTTGCCATATGAATCTTCTCCAGAGATTCTCTCGCCGTCTCATATTGCTTTATATGTTAGATGTGAGCCTTCTGTTTTTCGCTCACGGCACGGATGATGAGCGCGTCGTTCTCGATCTGCTCCTCTACGCACCCCTTCGCGTGATTCCAGGCCTCTGCCATTCTTCTTTGGTCAGAATGCCTTATGGCCTGGGCCTGCTGATCCTGCCCATGGAGCGCACGTGCCGCTTCTTGTTTTATATGTTCGGCCGAGAGCCTAGCAGCATCATGTTGGTCACGGAGCCCCTGGATTTCTCGCGCTGCCTGCTCTCGGGCCACTCTCTCTCCTTCCCGTCTGGCTGCATCAGCTATCACCTGAGATTCAGCGCGCTCGTTTTCGGCCTGTAGTTGCGACGACGAAATCATCTGTTCGGCCGCTCCCTGAATCCTTCGCTGATCTTCCTCTTCTTGCGCGGGACGCCGCTGAGCCGCGCTCGCGATCCAAGCGATTTCTTCTCCTGCTTGCAATGTGCATTTCTGGACATCTTCTGCAATGACAGCCTTTTCTTGTTCAGCTATATTTGCCATTGCCCTCTTTTCTGCCTCGGGTTCGGCGACCTTGCGGTTCGTTTCTTCGATGGCCGCTTTGTCCACATGCGCCTGAAGAGGGGTCCGTTGCATTTGTGCACTTGCTGCCCTCAGCTGCTCTCTATATTGCCTCTGTTTATCTTCCCACTCTCGAATGGCGATGCGACGGCAGCTGCGTTCCTCCAACGCGACGCATTCTGCGCAGAGCCACGATAAACTACATTGCGGACACACTTGTGAGCATTGCGCACATGCGGTTCGGCCACGAGACCCCCCCGGTTTGCGCGCTTTTCCCGGGCAGCGAATCTCTGCCTGAGGCGGGCGTCCAGGGCCCGCGTTCCAGCAGGCTTCCCGGATAGAAAAGCTGCTCGTGATCCGATTCGACGACGGACGAGAGGATTCAAGGGCGTCGAATCCTCTGGAGCTGGAACGTCCGGCTCTTGAGGCCTTATTCCGACCCCCGCTGGACGTCGGCGTATCCTGCTCCCCCATTATTGACCGCGCGTTCATTTGAGTGCCTTGTTGCTTCTCCTTTTGCTCAACCTTTTTCGTCTTGCATGATGAGTTCATCAAGTTCTGGCGCGCTATCGTGGCCTTTCCTGTGTGGCGCGAGATTTTGCCGACAGAGAACCTTCGACCATGGTGGAGGATTAAGATCATCCGTTTCGCTCTTGGTCTTCGTTGCCTTGGGCAGTGGAGTCACGCCAGTCAGTTTCCTCGCGCGCCGAGCCGGGCGCGCGGCGCCGGGCGAGTTCTCCATCGGCTGAGCCGAAGAGCTCTCTTCCACGGCCCAGCCCCTCGCTTTCGGGGCTTCCTTGTTCCTCGAGATCTTCGCCCGCATCAAGGATAGCCCTTTGATGGGCTTCGGCCAGCGCGCAATGCATGCAATTGTTTCGGCGCCCGACAAGTCCGCGCCCGAGGCGAGCCCGCCAGGCGAGCTCCGAAGAGGATTAGGATGGCACGATGGCCCAGGCGACGCATAGAAGCGAACATGTCCTTCGTTCTTTTCACTTGAATGCAGGCTCTCTTCCTCCGACTGTCCGTCGCTTTCTTCTTCGCCCTGCCCATTCGTCACAAGTTGCGTTAAGTTTCTCGGCGTTGCGCTCTCCACCCGCTCAGCTGATGGGAACGTTTCCCGGCGGGCCCTCCTCATCGTAGTTCGCATTGACTGATATCCTCGGGCTCGAGCGCACTGATGCGATGTCAGATGGCCTTCCGTTGGGGGCGCCGGCTCAGCCATGCCCTCTGCCTGGGGTTTGAACTCTTCCTTCATCTCGTGATCTATAGGGGAATCCCCCTCCGTCAAATCAAACGCAGATTCCGATGCTTGTCTTCTGGGAAGATGGAGAGAAAGAGGCCGCCCACTTGGGGCGCCTTTCCTAGCAACGCGCTCGGGGCAATTTTGTCGTTCTATTCCTCCGAGCGCCCCTTCCTGCGATCCCATGACCAGCGAAGCCAGCGGCTGAGCCGTCGTTTCGGCTGATAACCATCTTTTTGCCTGGATATTGACTATCCCAGCGTTGCGCTCCGATGTAGAGTCGACCACCCCCGAAGGTAACTCCCGCGAGGACAGCTCAGGGGGCTCCGCCGAAGCCGCGGCGAGGAAGGAATGCTCCGTTAAGCGGATGAGAGAAATATGCGCGGCAAGGAGGTTGCCGGCCGGCCGACGACGCGCCCGCGATAGGGGAGCGATCCCGCGAGCGCGCGCGCAATCCAGCTCGCCCCTTTTTCCTGCGCCTCTCGAATCTGAGCGGCTGCAGGCAGACAGTCAATACAACGGCAATGATGGCATGTGCAACAGGATGGCGGTGCGGAGAGGAGCGCATTAACACCATCGCGACCGAGACGAGCCGATGCTGACCAAGGTGATCCTGAAGCTGCGGCCGCCCACTGACACTGAAGGTGGTCACGATCATTGGCCTTCGCTTGCTGCCCTTACGGGCGCGTCGCCAAAGCCTGGAAGAGGAGGCTACCGATGCCGCATCGCTCTTATGTTCTGCAGACTGCACATCACCTAGAAGAGAACCGACACCGAACGCAAAACCGCAATCGAAAACGTCGGGGTGCATTGTCCGCTACCAGGGGCGAGAGACTTCTGTGAACTCGTCGAGTCACCTCGAGCCGGTTCCGCATGCGCACCGAGGCTGGCACTCCAGGCCACCCCCCCGACGCGCAGTGGTCTCATCCTTCGCCGGATCGCGGCGGGGCCGCAAACATTGCGTGGTCCTCGAAGTAATCGCGGCAGCGTCCGACTCCTGAGTCCCCTGAGAGCTGGAGTGCCCGACTGCAACTGCATGCTGAGAGTTGCAGGGTTCATCGCCATATTCGACTCGCTGCCTCTTGTGCTGCCTGACATTAGATATGTGAGTAGCGTCCTGCACTGTAGGTCGTCCGCCATATCCCAGAGAGGGATCAAAACTGCGCATAACCCCGTGCTGGAGACGACGCATGGGGAAGGCCAACTCATCATCCAAATGTCCCCACCACCAGGTTGGCCCTCCATCTGAATGCTGGCCTCTGCTGGCACTTGTGGTGAAGCACTATTCTATGACGCTGGATGGCAATCGTCGGCTGGCGTCCCTGGTGCAGGCATGCCAACTGGAGTGGCTGGTGCAGCAGGAGGCCCAGGAAGAGGACGGGAATCAGCCCTTTTGTGTGCCGTAAACGCCCGCTGCAACTCGGACAAATGCGTGCCGATGTTCTGGGTGGCCGTGGCTGCTGCCGGCCGTGACCGCCGAGGGAGCCGCTGCCACAACTCCCTGAAGCCGCGCAATAGCCGCCTCCACATCTGCCATGCCTTCGCCAGTATTCCCACTCGCCCCACGAACAAGAATGGTTGCGCGCGCTGTGCTGCCTTGCAGCTGAATGGCCTGCAGCTCGCTGCGTGCAGTCGTGAACTCAGCTGTCTTGGCCGCAAGCTCAGTGGTGAAGCCGTCGACGAAGGCCTGCAATGGGTTAAACTCCTTGTTCTTCGTGGACTGTCTGTCAGAAGCCCGACGGAGTGCGTGATTGTCTCTCCTGCTCCTCTGCGGCACTAAGCTCGCGCTTGGCGGCCACGATGAGCGAGCTGGCGTCGTCCAGGCCAAGCCGTCGGAGAGCATTGCGAGCCTTGCCTTGCGTGCTCGTAGGACTGGGTCGATCTCCTCGACGAGCGGGTCCTTGCCACCGTCGGGACCTTTGTGAAAGGCCCGAGGCGCTGAGCCGCTGCGAGGACGAGCAGCCTGTCCTGGAGGAGTGGCACCGCTCAAACTGCCCGCAGCCCAAGATACAGAACGCCGTAACGCTAGATTCTGGTGAATGTCGGCCCGAACCCACGGGGGGCCCAGGGCTGGGGGCTGAGGCAGACGGGCGCAGAAACGGCAACGGCCTGAGCCACCTAGAAAATTATAAGGAAAAGGAATGGAGGAGGAGGAGGAGGAGGAGGAGGAGGAGGAGGAGGAGGAGGAGGAGGAGGAGCGGCTTCAACTACGAGCAACACATTATCATATCGTCTTTCAGCAGCACCACGGGTCCAGGACGCCATGTTAGGCAAAACCAAAGCTCGGGGTAACGGCGACAGTGGTGGCAAATACCCGCGTTGGACTTGTGCTACTATTAGGCAATGCGGTTTCACATGAGAGGTGCCACATGTGTGGGCGGGACAGGAATGGCGCCTCAACGAAGACTGCGGCGTGTACGAGAAGTTCGCGTAGACCACCAGGGCCGCCAAGGCCAAAAACCTTGGCATGAGGGAAGCGGGGGCCCAAGGAAAACGCGTCCTGATCACCAGGGCACTCCGCTTTCCCTTCGACAAGTTGTTCATCCCGACCCGTTTTCAGACGGCCCCGGGGCCCAAAGGGACCCCTGGAGGCCAGCAACGCCCAAAACCTCAGAACCCCACAGCCCGGCAGGGGACCCTGGGAGGCCGACGACTGCAATAAACCTCACGACCCTTCTAGGCGATCGATCGACGCTTATATCGATAGCCCTGCTCACGCCAAATCCTACGGATGGAGCGAAATAGGGGCATACAAATACTACCTACATCCGGGACTCGATTTTCTATGCGTGCCCTATCCCGATGGCGCCCAGCGTTGGAGGCAACGAAAGTGCAATCACATAATTGCATCCATATACATGTTTGCCAGCGTGGACGCCAAACAGGTCGAGTACTGTGAATATGCCAACGGTGTGATGGAAACAATGTAATGCAGGCTATGTGGTGGAAGCAGTGCGTCGGAATATACGTAGCGCCAGCACTTAGGTGGAAACTATGTGGTGGACGAAACTTGGTGCAAGGCAAGTGATGGTGTGGTGGCGCACGACAGGCGCCCACGGGCGGTCACCGAGTGAAAACCCAGCACTGCCACCCACCGCACCAGGCGATAACGAGCGGCCACGGGCGGCGACTGGTCGAAAACCCAAAACCGCCAGCTCGTGCACGAAGCGGTGGCGAAGCGGCCGCGTGCGGCGACAAGGCGAAAAACCGGAACCGCCAGCCAACGCACGAGGCGGAGACGAGGCGACCGCGGGTTGCGAAGGAGCGAAGACACGGAACCGCCAATCGGGAACAAGAGTCCCTGAGTGCAACCACTGTTTGGGGAAGTCTTGAAAGACCGCTCGGATTTCTCGAGTACTCGCTGGGCCCCCTCATCGCACACCTCCCGCCGGCACGCGGAGCGCGTCAGGGGCGCCAGCTCAGGCGCCGCCATCGGGGTAACGAGACTGGTCCGGTTCCGATCAGACAAATTGATGCAAATGGCACATGCCCGGAACAGATTTTCGGAATGAGCACCAAAAGTTCGGACGAAATCCAAAACCTGTGTTCATGCCCACGTGATGTTCTTCGAATCTTAACATCGTTGAACCGACTTCCAGTCTCACTAGCACGGCCATGGCCACACTGGCCGACTTCCCCCCTCGAGTGTGTACACGTGCTGTTCCCTTCGGGTTCCGTTGGTCTTATCCCCACCTGTGGGGGTGGGCTGGTGGGGTTGAGACACCATGGCTCAATAGGGATAGGGGATCGGCGAGACGATGCTGACAATCGGGGGCACGGACGCATCGCCGATCGCCAAATTCTCCACGGCCAGGCACCACGCGAAGAGCGCGGGCCTCAGGCAGCTCCCACCGCCGCCGCTGGAGCCCCTGGAAGCCCTTCCTGGCGCCATCGTGGCGGCGGGCTCACGGGCGGCTCGAGCACGAGGAGGAGGACGAGGAGGAGGAGGAGGAAGATGATGAAGAGGAGAAGGACTACGAGGAGGACGAAGAAAGGGAAGGAGGGGGGAGGCATGACAAACGACGCAGGAAGGAGGGAGGAAGGAGAAGAAAAAGGAGGACGGAGGAGGAAGAATAATGAGGAAAGAGGCAGCGGTGGGACGATGCCCAGGCGACGTGCCGTGGTCACGGCTGTGGCCTCCCTTCCCCAGGGACGCTTACCCCAGGGAGGCTAAAACGGACGCGTCCAAAAGGACGCTACCCAAAGGACGCTTACTCCAGGAGAGGCGAGCTAAAAGGCGTGGGAAAAGGAGACCTTGCCTCGCAACGGGGCACGCTTCCTCCTGTGCTCGTCGAGCGCCGCCTGCCGCCGAACTGGTCGGCGTCGGAGCGCCTCCTTTCTTCGGGCGGCAGTGCGCTCGGGTTGAGCACACGTGCAGGTGGGGCGGGGAGGCGGGGGGAAAGGGAACAGAGGGGGTGATGGGAGCTTCTATAGCTCGTCCAGGCTCGGGCTAGGAGTGGAAGGGAAGGTGTATCAGGAGCTGGAATCGTAGCCTGTGTCATGTTCGCGGCAGGAGTCGGAAGCACCCGGGAGGTCTGATTTCGCGTCGGGTCCTGTGACGGATCGATAGATTTTTCTGGGTCGGCATGTGTTCATTCATTTGTACCTCGGCAAGCTGGGGCACAGTCTGGCGCTTCCACAACATCCTGGTCCACATCCTTGTCGTAGAATTTCCAGACCCTTCAATAGGTCGGCAATAGACGCTGCAACGGGAACTGCAAAATGTTTGTACATGCCGGGGGGATACGTATTTTTAGCACTGGCCCGAAACTGACCTTGTTCGTCTTCGCCGATTCCTGTGAGAATCCTTGTGATGGTGGCAAAGTCCTTAGCCGTGTAGCTAAGCACGGCATTCGAAGTCCGATCAGAGGCAACAGTATGACACCGCTGTCGACGTCTGCCTGAAAAGAGATTCGGCGCGCAAGCACCCTGACGAAACAATATGTACGGCGCAGAAGGTGCTGCTACACTCTCATAGTCATGTTCCCGACGTTCCCAAATTCTGCCTGTCCTCGCCGTTCTGAAACAAAGCATGGCATTTGGGCAACACTTCCAGAGACACCTCGTGACCAGATTACTGCAGCAGTTCCCTTGCCTCCTGATATGTGGAATATGCTGGCACGAGCATTGCTGTTGGGTGCAGCCCGTCCGGCGGATACTCGACACTTAATGGGAATGCCATTCTCCGCCTGCCTGATTCAACCTCTTGAAAAAAAGGCAACTCCTCCGCGCGGTCTAGACTCCGAGCAGCACTGCGCATGTGCCTGCCAAGCAGCATCGACGAGCATCTAAAGCCAGATGGACCTTAAGCGATCTGCTAGATGCGAGCGAAGTGGAGCACGCCATGCATGAAGTGGAGCACGCCATGCATGTCTTGCCCTTCTCCATGAATCTGGATGCTGTGCGAACTTGGCTGCAATGTGTCCTAGTGATATGATGTCGTGTCTCTTTGGTATCCCCTCCCTGGCATGCACGCCATGCGCACTGCAAAATAGCTGGTTCTGGCTCTTGTGGGCCTTGCCGAATGAAAAAAAACGCGCGGCCGCTTGGCATGATGGGGCTTGTCGCCCTTTTGCCTTGGCCTCGGGAGCTAAGGCAGTACGTAGTGCTCCTCGCCACTATGGTAATGACGTTGGAATTTGCCTCCCATGCGCGGAAATCGTCACGTGGGTCAGGCAACTGTTGAAACGCAGATTGCGCTCGCCGTCGCCAGATTGGTATTCCAGTGCCCTGTGTATTCAAGAGCTGGCCTGCCGCGTGGATGATCTGAAAACATGAGCCACCACACTGCGCTGCGTAGGTGCAGCGTGTAGCATGATGTCGCATTCGCCAGAGCAGCCGCAATCTACGCACGCGCGGGACGGCTGTGAGATTCACTCGGTGTGCTGTGGCCAATGCCAGTACAGCAGCACACGTGCGCTCGTCGCTCTACAATTATGATACTTTGTCATCGTCAGCCCTCCAAAGAATGTGCGGGATGTACTTCTTCTTAAACGGCTCAATGACGCAGAAATGCGATTCATGTCTGAACGGTGCATGCTGTTATCTTTCTCAGCCCTCCATGGGGCAAGCATGCGCATCTCTATGGCCAGGCAAGTCACGCCTGCCATTGAATTCTCTATCCTCGGGCTATCTTCGAACCAGTGTCTCCGATGTTGGTCATGCATCTTCCGATTCGTATGGGCGGTCTTGAAGGACTGGTTTTGCTCTGGAAGCTTGGCTGTCAGATGCGGATCACTGGAACTCGGGCGCGGACCGTCTAGGCTCACAATCCATCTGAATGCGTTCCGCGCATGGAGAGAGGTATCGATTTTCTCTATTGCTGTCTTGTCCTGGCAACCACGGAGTATCGAACATCGGTCCACCACTATGCTACAGCACGGGCGCTGCCCCGTGCCGGCGCGGAAACTGAACAACCGCATGCAATCTACCTCCCGTCGTCAATGCATGGGCGGTCGCTCCCAAAACCATCGAGGCTGGTGACAAACGTCCCATCAGAATGCAGATGAGCTAAAATGCCAGATGCATCAAACTGCATTTCTTTGTGTGACCAATGAACATCGTAGATGTTATGCCAGGTCCCGGAAAATAGAGCACCCTCATCGCTACCTGCGTGGGTGCAAAAAACAATCTTGCCAGTGCCCGCCCACCTGGGAATCTCTTTAGATACCGCAGAGCTGTCGGGTGTAGTCCGAAATTTGTTTTCGTAGTGTAAATTTTCATGAAAGAGCAGAATGCCGTCACATTCCGTCCTGTGAAATGGGCGAATATTCCAAAACTTCCCGGCAGCGGGCGTTTCGATGACGCCGTTTTCGTCATGTCCTGCCTCTCCACAGCCCCGTCAATGGCTATAAGGAGAATTCTAATGACGTTGTAACCGGGGCAATCCAACAAACCAGCGCCCCCCTCCGGCATGCCTATGTTCCCAGACCGCGATCGAATTATCGCGTCCTTTTTGGTAACATGTAACAACGCACCATGTTTCTGAGACATGTTGCGGTGGTCATATGACACACGCATCCGTTCTACATCGACCATCGGGACAACATGTCCCTGGTTAGCTCTGGCCAGGGTGGGCTATGGCAGCGCCCATCCGCAAACCTTCGCATATTCGGGAACGAGACCATACAGCCAATTCCAATAGATACCGATCATGCCGGCCTCATCATAATCAGTCCGTTCATTGGTGAGCCCCAGAACCTGAACGGCGTCCGGCGGAAGCGTGGACAATGCGTTTGCCAAACAGTTCACGAGCGTAGCAGAATGGCACCATCCTCTAGAATTCGCGACGGCGCACGTGGAATGTCGCAGCACGCATGCCGTGAGCTCGCCCATCAGTTTGGCTTTCTCTTCGCCTCTCTCGCTCATTTGAACCCAGAAGTCCTTATCGCCGCCTCAACGGGCACTCATGTAAGCGGACAGTCCAATTTCGATCGGCGCAAGCCACTCCAAGATGTCTCCATTCGCTCTCGAAGATCTCACGCGACCCCCATTTGGCATAAATGTATTGCGCCGCGCGCGAGCAGTCCTCTTGCAGGAGGCTCTTTAACAACGCAAGTTTCGGGTATCTTGAAGCTGCGCTATGGGTCGCAGGGATTGGAATGAATGTTGAAAGGTCAACGCGTCCGCTGCAACCCGCGCCAAACCATGCGCTCACCCGACCTCGCGCCCAATGTGATCGAGGATTCGTTCCCAACGGAGCCGGGTGAAATTCCGCGCCCGCCGGTGGCTGACTGACTGACTGACTGATTGACTGACTGATTGTCTGACTGAACGTCAGGAGGGCACCTTGAGAAACATATTTCAACCCGCCCGCGGGCGCGCAACCGCAACTGGGCGACACATTTCGACCCGTCTGCGGGCGCGCAACCGCAACCGCAACTGGGCGACACATTTCAACCCGCCCGCGGGCGCGCGACCGCAACCGCACCTGGGCGACACATTTCAACCCGCCCGGGGGCGCGCAACCGCAACTGGGCGAAACATTGCAACCCGCCCGCGGGCGCGCAACCGCAACCGCAACTAGGCGACGCATTTCGACCCGCCCGCGGGCGCGCAAACGCAACAGCAACTGGGCGACACATTTGAGCCCGCCCGCGGGCGCGCAACCGCAACCGCACCTGGGCGACACATTTGAATCCGCCCGCGGGCGCGCAAGTGCAACTGGGCGACACATTTGAATCCGCCCGCGGGCGCGAAACCGCAACCGCAACTGGGCCCCACATTTCGACCCGCCCGCGGGCAGGCAACAGCAACCGCAACTGGGCGACACATTTCGAACCGCCCGCGGGCGCGCAACCGCAACCGCACCTGGGCGCCACAATTCGACCCGCCCGGGCGCGCAACCGCAAATGGGCGACGCATTTCAATCCGCCCGCGGGCGCGCAACCGCAATTGGGCGACACATTTCAACCCGCCCGCGGGTGCACAACCGCAACCGCGCCGGGGCGACACACTTCAACCCGCCCGCGGGCGCGCAACCGCAACCGCAACTGGGCGACACATTTCAAACCGCCCGCGGGCGCACAACCGCAGTGGGCGCCACATTTCGAGCAGCCCGCGGGCGCGCAACAGCAACCGCAACTGGGCGACACATTTCAACCCGCCCGCGGGCGCGCAACCGCAACCGCACCTGGGCGCCACATTTCGACCCGCCCGCGGGCGCGCAACCGCAACTGGGCGACGCATTTCAACCCACCCGCGGGCGCGCAAGCGCAACTGGGCGACACATTTCAAACCGCCCGCGGGCGCGCAACCGCAACCGCACCAGAGCGACAAAGTTCAACCCGCCCGCGGGCGCGCAAGCGCAACTGGGCGACGCATTTGGATCCGCCCGCGGGCGCGCAACCGCAACCGCAACTGGGCGCCACATGTCGACCCGCCCGTGGGCGCGCAACAGCAACCGCAACTGGGCGACACCTT